ATCTCAGTTTGGGTGAGTGATGTGTCATGAATTTGTTTTCGCGTATCTGTTAACCGACTTAAATGGCTGATTATTAGCTGAATTGCTGTGTTATGTCTGTCATCGTTTAGGTCTATTTGAAGTTTTGGACGGAACTTGGCTCAGTGATTTGGAACTAATTACCAGATATCCGTCGCGATTCTGACAGTTTATATTCATAGTTATTAATGTAGTGAACGATTAATCAAAAGATATGACGTATTCAGTACTTAGTGTGATTGGCTTAATGATTGAAGATTACGCCCTAGAGTCTTTTTACTGCTTTGTAATTGGTTAGAGTTTTGAAAATGAATAAAGAGAGTTTGAGTTGGTCTTGGCGAATAGTCCACGACAGACGCAGTCCTGGGCAGTCGAGTAGAGAGAGTGCAGTCCAGGGGCGAGCCTTGAGGCAGTCCAGTCTTGGGCGAGTCTTGGTTCAGCCTTGTGAGAGTCTTGGGGACTTTTCCTCAGGGCGCTGTGTCTTATAGAGTGCTCCAAAAGATCGACTATGACGAGAGTTGAACCGTATTTCGTTGTGTGTGTCTTATTTGACTGTAAAGTTAAAGTGACTTTCCCGATCCCATACCTCAAGGGGACGAGATAGAGAGACGAGACGAGTTTCCCCCCTGGCAAGTGTGGAGAACCCCGAGAGAAGAGAATTTTCCACTGATATATGTTATTAGTATAGTCAGCAACTCAATCCCAATTTTCACTTGATGTGGTATACAGATATGGTCCTCCCTGACAGGCTAGCAGTTATTCTCCAGGTGTCACCCGTTTTAATGGTATACTTCCTTATCCTTGCAGAGTCTTCCTAACACATTGCCAGACATAACGTTGCAAACGTACATCCTGGTAAAACAACTGCACCAACATTTTCTTTATAGCTTTTCATTCAATGGTTCATACCCACTGGCCCATTACGGAGTTAAAATCATCAACATATACTACCAAAAACTGTCAATTTATTTTGAACAGATATGTAAAATGAACAAAACATTACACAAACAAACAAAGGAAGTGATATCTTTGCTGGCTGACAACGCAATGTAATAGATATAAATCAAAATAATGGTATGTTAATTAATGTTATTCATTCGCAATACCATTCATAACAATAAACTCTCACGTGAACTGCGATATCGTGTGGTTTTGTGTAGGCGTGCAATATGACGTTACCAAGTTACTGGGGGTATGCAGTTTACATGGTTGACTCTCGACGTAATCTTGTACGGAATAATGGTCTCCAATTGCCTTCAGAGCCGCACACATACACACAGGTAAGCCGCCATAGACATTCCACCGAGCACAAAACACGCCATTTTGGGGCTTGTGACAACATGTCAAGTCACAACACAAGTCACATATAATATCAGTCACGTGTAATATCACAACAATTTATATAGACACCATGCACTAAAATATGCACACCGGGCGTTGTCCCAATCTACCAATCAACTGTCTAAATACAGAGTTGCAGTTCAATGAGATCGTCTCTATATGTCAGTTATACTGAAAAGATCCAGACATAGGCACTATATGAATTCGAGTTTAACACCTTCTCCCGTCGTGAATATCCAGGTGAGGCGTCAGCGGGTAACACCTGTCCATCATGTGGGTCAGATTCTATGAACCAGTTAAGTTTTGTTAACGCACTAACTCGTTTACTGGAGGACAAAAATGGAAATTCGGGCAATCCCTTATTTGAATTGTAAATAATATTATATTATTGGTTAATTGAAAACGCCACACTTGTTATCCATTCATTTCTCATTCAAAATAAAACGTAATTAGAACGGGAATCAATATTCAAAATATCGATGGCAAAAATTGATTAGATTAGATTTCATATCGTTTTTTTTTCAGTTTCTCATTAAAGTCTCTCCACTCAATGTATCAACAAATACAAGCTTTAATGTTTATGTTCCATGTCGTGATGGTAGTGTTTTGTGTTTGTTTTATGGCGATAAATAGGAAATGTTGTTTTGGCCGATAGATAGATAGAACAATTATCTATCGCCAAAAACAACATTGCCTATCTATTGCCATAAAACAAAAACATACACCATCACAACTGGATGCAACACTGTGTCACCCACCTTGTATGTTGTAATACTGCTATATTTCCCTATATTGATTGGGTAATTAAAAACTGAGATACGATAATGTGAATCCTAATTAGTCACAGATTGTGGATATATAGAAGATAATATTTGGTAATCGTAGTCCTAAATAACTATTAAAAATAGCTATTTATAAATAAATAAACGCTGCTCGGACTGATACATATGATAT